TTGGATGTATTACTTAGAAGATTTTTAATATATATTAATAACTGTAAAGTTTTTAGAAATAACTAAGTTTGAAGAATAAAATCTATTTTACTACTGTAGAAATTAAAATTTATATACTCTAAAATATAAAATGATATTTTTAATGTTACAAAGATGCTTTATTCAAAACTAGTAATAAAACTTAAAAGCATTTTTGTATCAGAACATTGACTCAAGAATTTTGGATCGAGGCAAATTCAATTAGAGATGGTAATTAATTGTTTTTATTAGTATTAGTATTTATGTAAAAAACAAAGCCCTCTTATATATAATTGTACATAAATATCAAGCCTTCTCATACTTGTTATATTAATTCTTAAAATTTTTTTATTAAATAATTCTTTTATTTTTTCCCTTTAGTTGACTATGGCCGCTTAAATCTAACAGAACAAATTGGCCCCAAAAAAAAAAAGTCAAACAGAACAAGGAGCCAGGGATCTCTATAACTTTATTCTACAAGATAAGTTAGAAAAGGTGATCTCATCTGTCTTCTTGTATATTAGATGGAGAAGTCAGTAGTTCAGTATCTCTTGTTAATAAAGGGACATTGCAATCTTTATTTGGAGTCATTTATCCATAAAGCATGTTTGCATCTGTAGCACTTCAATACTAAGAGCTTGAATAAAGAAAGAGAATTTAATTGCTATCATGATTCATCATGAAAACTGCAAACATAAGAAAATTGCATGTGAACTGTTCTAATTAAAATTTTTCGTATAAAAATCACATTAAAAGTTTAAAATCTGAATCTCATCATAGATCCTAAGATGAACACTGAACATGAAACTGAATAACTTAGAACTGATATTTGTTCTTGCCAGGATTCGCATTTGAGACAAATTTGGGAGCCATCAATCCTCGGCGAGCTGAGAGAAAACAATCCCAACATGGCCATGGTTTGTGTTCTTGGGCGGAGGCATGGGCTGCTTGGCTTGCAGCTCTCTTTCCATCTTTGGCCTGCCACTCCAAAAGCTACAGTCTCTTCTTCTGGCGTCTGGACTACGCAGGCATTGCTCTTATGATAGTCTGCTCCTTCGTGGCTCCCATCTACTACGCCTTCTTCTGCAGCCCTCTGGCAAGCCAAATCTACTTAACCTCAATCTCTCTCCTCGGAATCCTGGTCATCATCACTCTTCTTTCCCCTTCTCTCACTGCTCCTCAGTTCAGACCCTTGAGGGCCTTCTTGTTCCTCTCAATGGGCTTTTCTGGTGTGATTCCAGCAGCTCACGCCCTTGCCCTCCATTGGGGCCACCCTCATATTTTTGTAGCTCTTGGTTATGAGCTTGCCATGGCTCTTCTCTATGCCACTGGAGCTGCGTTTTATGTGAGTAGATTCCCAGAACGATGCAAGCCTGGGGCTTTTGATGTTGCAGGACACAGTCATCAGATCTTTCATGTGTTGTTGTTCTTGGGGCTCTTGCTCATTGTGTTGCTACTGTAATCATTATGGACTTTCGAAGGTCCTTGCCTACATGTAGGTTTTATAATTAGCCCATCCCACTCACTAAAATTAGCTGATTTTGACGTGATTGAATTTCCTGGGAAAACCAGAATGGATTAAGCTAGCTAGTAGGAAACACCATAATTGTGTGTTTATTCATAGTGTGATATGCACGAGATGGGTTTTGATATTAGGAATTAGGAGAAATGGTTACCTTGGGTAATCAGATCAGAGGTCATATATTGTTGTTACTGTAATGATCACTTATGAGTGACCTGGGAATGAAAATCTCTTGCCATACTGAATTTAAGAATTGATAGTAATTTTTCCTTTATGCCTAAGATAGATTGTCAATTTTAATCACATATAAAATAACTAGAAGGAAAATAAGTTATCCTATTTAAGTAAAACGAAAGGTAAGTAAATGCAAACAAAAGAAATTGATGGTTGAAAAAGCCAGAAAACAAGGAGCCAGTCCTAGAAAAATACCAGCATAGCAAAACAGCCACTGGAAGAATTTTACTACATGACAGAGCTTGTAATCAGAAGCAAAGGGGAAGGAGGTCTTGGAGTTAAAAATCTTCTTATGCAGAATAGAGCTTATATTATGAAGTTATGTTGGAATTTGCTTATTGATTTGGGTAGAGTACTTTGTGGAAAATACGATGCAGTTACATTATGTTTCCGATAGTCTTAAGAGGACAGGGACTCTCCATACACTTGGAGGATTATATGCAATGTGAAGGATGTTATAACCAAATAATAATTAGAAAAAGGAGTAGGGTAAGAGTTTTAACAGATTTGGGCATTACAGAGCCTATCCAATTAGACACTACGATATAGGACTACTAGAGTCCTTTCTTTGACGCATAGCTAATGCACCTTAGAGAAAGAGGTAAGAACAAATATTGAAAAGAGAGAGAGTCATTCTATGGTGATTTTTTTTTTTTTTTCCATCCACCCACTACTACTTATAGTGTGAAAGGTTGTCATGAAATGAGAAATTCTAATCGTAATAAATTTGCCTCATAATGGAGGGAATTATTACAATGGAATATTTTACATTAAATGTGAAGTCAAACTTCTTGATTTGGATTCAATCAATAATTAATTCTCAATTAATTCCTAATTCCGATCAAACCTCATTAGACCAGAGTATGCCAGATATTCACTCATTGATTTGACATAATGATCGGGTCTCTATCAAGGACGGATTAGTAATTCTAACATAATGTTTGGGACAAATTCATAGGAAAGGCAAATAAATACTCTTTATGGGTTGATAAATGGTCACCTATGCTTAAATCCTTAATATATGACACTTTGATCATGGAGCAATCAAATTGAGAGACTTGTGATTTCGTTACTCCCGACGTGAGCAGGAACATCAATAAAATGAGACATTTTTTGCCCGAGGAGGTAATTAGGCATATCACCTTGGTTAAACCTCCAAGGAAATAAGGTCTTGATGGATGATGTGCTTTGTTAGAGACATAATCATGGTTTCTTGACTAAATTGGCTTACAATTTTGTGGGTAAATGTCAATACAAACCCAATACATCTATCTAGATAAGTATCTAGAAATGACCGAAAATATTAAATGCTCTCTTCCAAACATGGTTGGAGATGGAATTCATATGGAATTTATATTTAATATTTTTTTACTTTGTCATTGCAGGATTGAATTCCATGGAATGCAAAATAAATAAATAAATAAAGTGGGAATCAATGCAACGAGGAGGTTACCTTGCAAAGAGTGTTCACTCAAACTTTTTGGATGCAGTGAAAGAATATATACATTAGTAAGGTCTTTGCTGGAGAGATTTACAGGGAAAAGGACACAACCTTTTCAGCCACATAGATTGTATTCAAGGATATGAGGCTTGATTTCAATGATTTGTTAAAACATAAGTTGAGCAATCAACAAGTCAATAAACGAATAAGCTAGAGGAAGTCGGACCCCTCAATAGTAAGCTGGATGTGCATGGTTTTGTTAATCCATGAAGAAACTAGGTTATTACCTCAGTACTTAGATACTCAGCATTCACAAGGTTTGGCTCTCTGTTGGGAGTTGGGACAAAGGATACAAGAAGATGAGAGTGTTTGCCAATTCTATGGAAGCAATCTATAACATCGTGAATTTGCAAGATAGAAATCATCCAAATTTTGGCATTTCTTAGGAGAATTATGTAATGTTTTGTAAGTAAAAATGTTCTGTCGAAAGAAAATAAAAAATGTACCTATCTCATTTTCTTTATAAGAAACACTTCTGTATGTATCAAAGGAGCCTGATCAAAGACGGAGTAACAAAAGCTGATGGGGGTGAGACGAGTGTTCAAGAAGGGGGAAGCTGGTGGACTGGAGGGAGAGAGGAAAACCTCATTGAGGGAACTCAGTTGACTATGGCAGAAACATTTTTAATCCCAAGGAGCTAGACATTGTGACATTTGTCTCAAATGCTTCAAAGGAGTCTCCATGGAAAAGCTATAAACTAGAATAACCTTGAAAATGATATTATATTTATAGCTACACACGTATTTGAAGATATGCTTCGAAAATATCATTCAATGCACATTAGAATGTCGTAGGGACGTTCATCAGGCAAAAGACAAATTCATAAAGGTCAAGCAAGTGGTGTGTTCTAGGTGCAATTTCGTGACTACATGGATAAAATTATTAGGATTTTAAACACATCATTATTGCTCACTTTCAAAGTGGTCCAGGTCAGCACGTTCACTCCTTAGCATTGTAGCTATTCATTATACGAAAAAGAAACATTTCGAGTTTATGAACAAACTCGTGAAATACAAACAAGGGCTACCACAAGGAAAACAAAATACAGGTCTGCAAAGTGAGACCTTATTGTTCTGGAACCTAGTCATCATCTCTTGGAGGATGACCAAGAAGCTACAAATCCGTCAACACAACAAAATATTTATAGCAGGAAAAGATTGAAACAATTTAATACAGGAGATGGGTAGCCACTCAACAAAGGCTTCAACGTCTAGATGACTTGCTTCCGCAAAATAGGCTATAAACAAGACTGCTTTTGGACAATATGAACAAGACTGTTAACCTAACCTCATCCATTATTAGAGTACGAGGTCGTATAAGAATTTTGCACTTCCTTACTGTCATCAGTTCTCCATGAGTTTTCAGGTCATTGAACTCGCCAACCCAGTTGTAAATTGGGGCCTCACTGTTCTAGAACATAGTCATCATCCCTTGGAGTCTCACGAAGAAGATACAAAACTGTCAAGGCAACCAAAAAATTATACAAGGAACAGATTAAACAAATATAACATGGGAGTTACTAACAAAAGTTCAACACACCTTAACCTGTGACCTCAATCATTTCTGCTTCACTATCACTGTAATCCCCCCAACACTTGCTTGGATTTTTCTCAGGCACTATTTCCTTGCTAAGTTCTTTTTCTTCTTGACAACAATCAGCTATTGGGACTAGGTCTATGGGATTTTCTTCTGTTTTAGAACCATTTTCAGTGCTGGCAGATTGGTCTTGAGTATTTTGCTCAACTTCCAGCTTTTCACACTTGACTTCCGTTGAAGTTTCTTCTTCAGTTTCCTTATCTGGCGTTTCAATTATGTTTCCGAGATCATTTTCAACATTCTCAACTGGTGCTAGATCTGTGGAAACAGTGGGAGACGTTGCAAATCCATTTTGAGTCACTGGGATACCATTTACTGAAGTTGGATATCCATTGGATAATGGAATTCCATTGGGAGCCATGGGCAAACTACTTGGTGAAACTGGAATACCATTTGGTGAAGTCATATATCCATTAGCAGGCACTGGATAGCCGTTGGGAACCCAAGGTTGGCCAGGCACAAACTCAGTGGCATGTGGGTTCATTATCGTGGGAGGGCTAATGCAACTGCCATCAGTGGTGGGTTCACTAGTGTGGAATACAGTTTTATTTCGTGCAACTCGGTTCCCATATCTATTGTAGCCTCCAGATATGCGGGGACCGTATGGAACCCTTGCTGTTGCTGACTGATGAGGTGATCTACGGTGATTTACTGCAATCATAGGAGAAATAGTTGTTGGCGGGGGCAAAATTCCTCCATGATCTTTGAAGCCTGGAACTGGAACTGAGCCAACAGGAATAGTTGATGGATTAAATGGTGGTGCAGCTGCAGAAAGTTTCTTGGTTGTTTCCTTTCCTGATTCTGTTTCATCTTGCTTTTCTCCTTCTGATGGTATTGACTTGCTATCTGCATTACCACTGAGTGATTCATGTTGTTTTTCATCTCCTTCAGCAAGCTTCTCTTTTGATACAGATGCATCGTTATTGAGCAACTCTTTTGAATCTTCAGCTGAATTGGTTGGGAAAAATGAATCGAGGGGAGTTGTTGGGAAACTTTCTAGTACTTCTGTCTTTGATTCACTTCGAGCGGCAGCACCGTCACTCACATTCTTCAAACAATCATTGTTCTCAACCTGCCCGACTGTGATATTGGTCGTTCCAGCTTTCTTCTCTTTAACTGTATCACTACTATCTTCTTGGGGTTTCACAACCTCATCTCTGACATCGGTACCTTTTGCAAAATCTGCATTGTCTGTCACCGCTTCAGCTTCTTCTTTGGTTTTTGCTTCATGTACAACGCTTGAACTTTCTTCTTCGGAAACCAAAAGCTGCTTCTCATCACTAGGTTTCTGAACATGTTTTTCTTCCACATCCTTTCTCGATGCTGCTGCACAATGAACCCTCTCTGTTGCAACTATCTCGTGGCTTGCCTCGGGGTTTTGCTGACCAGCAAGATTTCCCTTTGGTGATTGCTCAGCCACAGCCTTCACAATTGTACCAGGGGGAGCTAAGGCAACTTCTTTGTAGGAGAAAAGTTTACCTGCTGTCTGAACACTGATGGTACTGGCAGAAGGAGCCGTTTTAGCATTTTGATCACTTACAGCAGGGCTAGTTGGGGCTGACTTTGAATCTGCTAACTTATCTGCTCTGGCAGCTGTGGCATTGGTACTATTCACCTTAGGACTGAAGCTTGCACTCTTTACAAACTTCTTTGGAGCAGGAAGGGAGGGCCCGACTGAAGGACTCGTCTCATTTGAGCTTGTTCGAGGAGAAGAAAAATTTGCGGGCTTCCCTCGATTTCTTGATGACTGGGAAACATTAATGAAGTTAGTGTTCAGTTTTGCTAGGGTTGGCCTCCTTGATGAAGATGACTTGCGCCCAGTGAGTGAGCGACCTTTTGGAACAGCCTCTTGCCATCCTTCATCTGAGGTGTCATCCTGCCCCAGGTTATTGCTTTCATTGAGGATTGATTGATCTGAAAGCATGGGTTCAACTTTATCAATTACAAGTTCTGCAAGTTGAGATTCTGATTTATTTTCTTTATCACTTGTGTTCTCCACAGTAGGATGCTCTTTAGACACATCTTCATCCTTCTGATTTTCATCTGGAACTGTTTCCCAGTTTTGGCCAGGCTTCCCCTTCAACTGTTGGCCATTATTTGGTGAGTTTACAATCAGAGAGGGCAAATGAAGGGTAAGAAAGATAGAGTGATAGGGTAAATGATGGATAAAGAAAGTTGTGTGTTACCTTGGCACGGGCCTTTTTCTGTGCTTCTCTTGCTTTCAGATCAGCATCTGGTGTGATGTAATCCAAGAGGTCCGACACACTGGTGCAAGGCATTGTAAAGGTTAAATAAGTTTAAAAGAAGATTTTGAACTAAAATAAAGGTCGCTTGATTCTATGTCTTGCAGATTTGGGCAATAGGTAGCCAATTATGGCAATGAAAGATTTATGACCATTGCAGAATTATCAGCATTGGTATTATGGGGAACAAGAAGATTGACTTAACAGAAAGAAAATTCTCAAAATATAATGTAATCTTGCGATTCAAACCAAAAAGAAAAAAGAGCAAGTTGTATCACATGAAAATAGGCAGATCTGGTTTAAAATTTTGAACCGTATAGTCTAAATTTAATTATTCTCGAAAGATTTATACAATTATTAACAAAACTCATAAAGGAGATAATATTTATGAGACTCTGGTTTATTTATGAGACTTGCTAACAGAGTAAAAGCCTTATTCTAATTGAATATCTACCTTAAATGACCTTTGCTGGAGATTGAGGCATCTGGTTTAGGTGTGCCATTGCGTGCAGCCTCCTGTTGCTCAAGAGCCTTTGACTCAAAATATTCAAGCCATGCAGCAGCATCCTGCAAAAAGTTCACATCTACAGATTTGAGGAGCAAGGATCATGTATTGAAGACCTATTATCAAATAGCGTGTAAAATGATTACCTGTGTCCTTAGATCATCAGAACCAAGTTTGGCCTGGAGTATTTGCAAGGTGGTTTGCTCATGCTGAACGCTTAGAGAATATGCTTCCATCAGAGAAAGAGCAATGGCTATTGCATGGTAGCTTGCAGCTGTCTGAATAAACCAATAATTCATTCAACAAGCGAAAAGTGTCAACTATCATTTCCTGATCTGATGTATGTTCCCCAAAAAAAAAAAAAAAGCTAAACATGTAAGCATGGGCTCCCAAGGGTAGAATGCACCAGCTATTAATTTGGAACATCAAATTACAATCAATAGCATAATGCAATTTCTTATTTTTCACAAATTTTCTAATCATTAGTGATGAGTACCAAGCTAAATTTTTTGATAAACTTTTTTCAAAAACAGTACCTTTGCATGTCAGCTTTTTAACGGTGCAGCATTGGACCTCTAACGGGTTAGATAATGATCCCAATCCCTTGTGACCAGGAAAAGCAATTGATATATTTCCTATGATTTTTTTTATTTTCATTTTAATGATCCAGTCACAAATCAATTCCATTCAATTTGTCCAACAGTTTTTATGGCATGTCATCTGGGGTATAATATCTCTTGCAATAGAAAAAAATTAAATTTTTTATGTCAGGAATAAGAGAGGTACCTGTATGTGGTCAGCCCCAAGTAATCTTTTGTTACACTTTAAAGCTTCATGAAGGTATCTGAGAGCAACATGGACATTCCCCAATCCTTCTTCCATCATTGCTACATTGATGTAGGTTGCAGCAGTATTTGGATGTGAGGGTCCGCAAGTAAGGTGCAAAAGATACAATGCACGATTGACATACCTAGACATTTACAAGGAAATATGAATCTTAATTATTATAGGCATGTACTGCGTTATTCTGTAAAAAGAATAACTATAAAAAGTCTTATAAAAATTTGCATATTGTTCGTGTAGAATGAGCCTTCATCTTGGCTTATCGATAAAATGAATTTCTTACCATCAGAAATTAGTATCTAGCAAAGATTATCTAAAACTCATATTCATCTCCTGCCAATATTGGAAACTTACAATCCCACAATCCAGCAATGCTTGTTGCTCCAATGCAAACGATCTTTTATAATTTTACTAAGAAAATCACAAAAGATCTTAAATAGCTACTTTAATTTGGATGACTCTCTGGTATTGCGTTTGGAAAATAGAAGGAATGTGACCCATGAATCAAGACTCTCCCTTCAGGCCTTCACTACATAATATGTTGTTAGTTTCCAAACTTCAATGTTTCCTTCAAATGCTTTTAATTAATGAACCTCTAGGCTTGTCATTACCCGTGATTTCTTTTCTTTAAAATTAGCCGGTCCTCTGCGTATTTTCAACAGAAGCTACTATATCTTCACTCTTCCTCTTTTTGCCTAACATTAGATTTTTGTCTTCAGCATATTTCCTTCAAAACATGTTTATGTACATCTACCCAGACCCAGTCTTTTAAGTTTTAACACTAACACTCCACAGTCTTTTAGATTTTTGACATGTAAGGTTTGAGTCAGTTTTGTCAATTCTTTAAACGTTACAGCCTGTTTATCTAGATTTGCAAATCTTTCCCATGATAAAACTTCATAGCTTTTTCGTAATGTTGATTTTTTACTTTGAGCAATTGAATCGGAAAGAATATTTTTCTTGATAGATTAATCTTTTAGACATGGCCAACGTACAAAGAATTATTCAAAGTCATCAATCATGATCTTCATCAAACCTCAAAAACAGTCTATAAATAGCATCGCCCAAAAAAAAGGGGGCGGGGGACCTCTAGAATTGTTTCTGATCTTTTTAAAAATTAGAGGCATAAAGTTCCTTGAGGCCTGAGAAAGTAGCTTCTCATATGAAGAAAAATGAAGGTTGCTGCCACAGTAAAATGATCTAAAAATTTCTGTTCAGAATAGGATATACAGAAACGTACTTTAGAGCGAGCTCCGTGTGTTGGAGTCGGTAGTAGAAAACAGCCAGATCCCCGTAACTTTTCATTGTATCAGGATGATCTAGTCCAAGCTCTCTTTCGTTTATATCCAATGCCTTTTGCTGATAAATAGTTGCCTAATAAATCCAAATCTAAAATGATTAGAAATGGTATTCAACAGAAAATCATTTGCAACCAAATTTGTTAAAAATGCATGTCAGAAGATTATGTGTCTATGTTTACTTCTGAGTTCAGAAAATGTCAAGTCCTTAGCTGTCCGAGAATTTACTTTGTAAATCGTGCCATGGTATAGAGATAGAGAAGAAAGAGAAAACAAGCTCATGCATTAATTCAGATTATTTAACAAACAAAGAATTCAACTGTTGTAAGCAGGTTGAAATTTCAAAGTATATGTTACCAGTCATGTGATGAGTCACCAGAAATTATTTAAAGGTATTAAAATATATACCTGATTGAAATCTCCTGTATGGTACAACACAACAGCCAAGAGACTATACGCTCCAGCTGTCATTCTGTGGTATGGTCCGCATACTGACACTAATTTTGACAGTGCCTTCAAGATCCAACGCAATATGTTGGTTTGTTTATATGTTGGCTTCATAAAAAAAATCCTCACTCAAAGATGTAGAATACCTTAGTTCCATAGTTGACAGCATCCTCCAATTTACCTTTATCCAGAGAAGTCTTCGATGACTCCAACAGTGTGCGACCATCAGCAGATGAGCAAGCCACATGCTGTGCAAATAGTTGATTTTGTAATTCAATCACTGAAACTTGACAAAATTAATGACGATAGACATGAGAGAAAATTAAATATGGCATATTTTTACCTTATATATGGGGACCATGCTTATGATATCTAACTTTCTAAAAGGAGATATTGTCTCCATATTATAGTCCCTAGGACCCAGCTCAAGTCCAACCTGTTAAAAGATTATTGTAATGTCTTAAGTGATGTGAGCAGAATAAACACAATATCAATATGCTACAAAGTGCGTCATTTACTTTACCTTGTGGCATAGTCCACGTAGAATGGCAAACTTTCGTAAGTCTTGAACACTTTCTTGTTTCCATTGCCACCCAAACCTCTTGAGAAGGAAAGCCTCTACCCATTTCCATTTCAAATTATCACAATCGATAATTTCTGCATCAATAGTTTCAGGAGTAGGTGTTCCCAACAGTATGTTTAAGCATGATGCAATAGATGAAGCCAGTTCATAGACATCATCAACTGCTGCAATGACAGCTTGCAAGATGTGCTTGAAGGCTCGAACAACCATCTCATGTATGCAAAGCGATTGCACATGAGGAAGCTTATCTGCAAGCTCAACCTGGCAGATCAAAATCAAATAAAACATATACTTGGTGATGTTATCTATGAATATGCATGATCAAACCTATCAACATCATATTATAAACACGTTACATGCTAAAAAGGGCTAGCAGGGTCATTTTGGTGATGTATAAACCAACGTCAGGGAAAGAATCAGAATCATATTGCAATATTGGCATGTGAAATAGGCAATTCAACAAAAAAATGATTGCAAACGACATCTGAAGAAGTTCGTTTTGGGGGAAAAAAGATTGGATAAGACCTTAAATCAATATTTTGTGCATTTATAAAGCCATCAAGAGTAAAGCTTTATACCTGGTAATATTGTGCTTGACAGGTTAAGAGTTATATTACATGTATTATACAAACTAAAAATCTGTTGGGGTCTTCAGTGAAAAAGTAAAATCTAAATTTCCAAGTTTCAGATAAAGTCCCACACCACATAGTATCACTACTAGCATGAAAATTCTTCTAAATGAAGGGAGAAAGAAGAAAGATAATGAGCTATCGGAACGAGTTCGAGGAGAACAAAATACTGTACTGTCCTTCAAATGCAAAACCAAACAAACTATAAACCATGCTTTTGGGCTTCCTCTTTTCTTTCTTCATCAAAACTCTACATTTCCCCTTTTTCTCACTCTATTAAACCCTTAGGTTGTTTCATTTTCTAAAATATAAGTTAACTCTTATTGACATGTGTTAGTTATTATCAACCTTTAATTATTTATTTTTATCCATGAATTGCATAAAGTGAAAAAGCAACACTGTAAGAGTCATTAAAAAGAGAAATTGGTCAAAATTAGAGTAATAAAATAATAAAATTGTGAATTAATGCTGTAAATCTAGGTAGGTTGCATAAACTGATAAATGATTATATCTATTACCACTCGTCCCAAGGAAGACATTCGCAAGCCCCTGGTATGCATGAAATCAGTTAATGTCCTTCCATCAACCGGTGAAAGTTCAAGGGAACCAAAATCTGCCACCTAAAAAAAATTTGAAGCCATGACGTTCAAATACATTTCATAACAACTCTAGAGGAAAACATCTATATTGTCAAGAAACTAACCAGCTTTGGAAGTGCAGTTTCAACATAATAATTATGTGCCATTTCCATCAATTCATCAGGTGACTGCAAATATGGAAATTGTCACAATAAATGTCAGTATACCTGTATATCAAGGGCTGATAAATATGGTTAATTGGTGAGTTAAGATAACACAAGTTAGAATTGAGAAAGTCCATAAATTCTATTGGTGAATTAACTTAGGTGCAGAGGAAAAAATAAAAAAGGGCATGTTTGTTAGAAAGCAGAGACAGACCTTTAGATGGAGACCAGTTTTAGATTCTTTAAGACGTGTATATGCTGCATCAGGAAGCAGCTTTCTCCACACAGCTTCCTTTTCTTCATCTTGTCTCCCTAACTCCTCTTGAGTGGCACCTGACTTGTTAGTTATGCCAACACCATTATTTGCTAAAGCGTCTTTCTTTTGTTCAGCCTTTGAATTCCTGCTGTCAATCTTTTTCTTCAGTTCCTTTAGTAACCCACCTTGCTTCCCCAGCCCCTTAACATCTGCTTCAGGTTTGGACTCTTCTGACTTTTTGGGCTCAGTTTTCCCAGTAGCTTGATTTTGCAAATGTTGAACCCAACAAGCTCCTAATTCCCATCTGATAGATTCACTGTGTTTAGTGGGTTCTTCCTGCAATTTCAGTAAGCTTTTCTCTATAACTCTCCTTACCAAAGACCTAGCAGATCGTAAATTTTCAACATCTGTGCTTTGGGTTCGTTGATTTGTATTAGATGATTGGGGCGTAGATGACTTGTGTAACAGCATCCTCAAGCTGAAGGAAATTTGATTAGTTGTATCAGTACATGAAATCATATACAAAGCACCGTTAAGACAATGGTATTTTGTCAAGGATATACCAGAAAGATGTAGCCAACAGAATAGTAAAAGCAAAATTTGCATTAAACGCTTTAAGGGCACCAAGTTTTCTTCTTAATTAGTGCAATCATTTTAACATATAGTGGATCAGTAAGGTATTGTTTGGTTGGGGGGGAGGGGAGGGGAGTTCCCCTTGTCCCATCCAAACATGGGGAGGGGAGCCTCCCCTCCCCTCCAAAATCTCCCCCCCAAATTGGTGGGGAGCCCCCCCTCCCCTTTCCTTGAACCAAACAGAGCCTAAATGGTTTGCTGACACAAAAAGTGAATATGTAGTCACTCAAGGAGGCCTCATGATCATTAAATAGATCATGTAAGTGATAGAAGAACTGACCTGTTAACATTTAAAGCATGTGCACCTCCTTCAGGCTGGTCCTCAATATCAATGTCCATAGGAATAGGACTCCCTTCCCAATCTACCTTAGTTGAAACATTCACCACAGCTGTGAAGCCGCAGTGCCTTACAATTACTAGACCTAAAGTAGGAGTATCCTACGTGAACAAACACAAAATTATCAATATAACACTTCAGTGAATTATTATAGGCTCACAGTACTTAGTTCACTTACATGAACAGTTGCACTCTCGTCTGCAGTTATGCCTCTAAGCAAGTTTCTTCGAGCAAGCTCTTCTTCTGACAATCCAAGAATCTGACTTCCATCATTTTTGCAATCCAACTTCACACTTGCATCAGATACATCTCTGGTCACCTTAATAACCAAATGTCCTATTTTTTCTTCATAGGAAGTTTGGGTAGTTGGACTGTTTAAAGAGCTTTCTTTAAAATGCTTTATTGCTGTAACAGCTTTTATGACTGACACGTCGACAAATAAACTGTGCAATAGAAAGGCTTTCCTATCTCGAATTTGCCTCTCTTCCGCAGTTTGACAAGGCATTGCAGCTAGTATTGCAAACTCTCTAGCCCATTGTCGCTTATCATGCTTACCATCTCTTCCTTGTCCACCACCGTTGCCTTCCCACGTTTCATCTTCCATTGGAAGTGGGGGAAAGACAGATGGATTGTCAGCAACAACTGGAGGGACAACCCATGTATTTGCACGAAAACCATAAGGAAGATTGCCAAACTGAAATGATATCATAAGTGTGAAAACATTTTCTAAAAGAATAGTTTGAAAATATATGATGAGAAGTACATACTTTATTGTGTTCTGTAAAGGCCTTCATCAGAGCTTTGTAAGCCTGCAAGAAATGATGTTGTTTGCTAATATTAAAATGTTACAAAAATGAAATAAATCAAATAGCTAGGAAAAGTATAGTTTACAATTTTAAAAAAAATATAAGCAATCACTACAGGAAAAATGATTTGGAAGTTCTATAAAAAAGGCCAAGAATCAATGAGTTCAAACTTACAGAATCAAACACTCTGCTTATCTGCTGAAGGAGGCCTACTAAAGTGTGACTGACAAGGAGACGTTTTCCAGCAGGATAGAATCCCTTTCTGGAAGCAACAATTGTTGTTGGTTTTCCAGTGCAAACCCTAACCTGTACATATCATATCCATGGCAATCCCAAGGTATATTATATTGCAAAAACTCATTCAGGGTAAAACTACAAAAACAGTGCGGCCGTATAACAAATTAACGTAGAGAGATGCACAAGGCAATAATCCTCACATCAATCTGAAAGAAATCATCTTCTGTCTTATCTTCTAGGAATGGACGATTTGACCTTCGTATGTCTGTAAGAGAATCAAAAGCGCTTTAAGAAAACTGGGTTTCATGTTCACAGGCTATTAAATACATTCAAAACTTTTTGTAATGATTAACGAGCTGGAGTAGTAGTCAACTAGCTAAAATCTCTTTAAAAACAATACATTTTTGAACGAGATTGTTCTCTGTAGTTAATCCTGCATGGTTCAGACCAAAATAATAATAATAATAAAGAAAACAAGGAAAAAAGACTAAGTTAATCATGCATGCTGGATGTGTCCTGGAGACAAAGATTCCATCCGCTGATAAATAATATCCATGAAAGAGGAAGCATCACAATACATATTCTATATACACACACAATAGGTAAAAGAAGTACAATATGAAAGCTGTAAACCCAATAAACAGTTTAACTGTCTTCTGCTAGTCGAAGATTATAGCTCTTGCATTATTCTTTTTAACTCGTTTTGGCAAATGAATCCTCGGAAATCACAAAAAGGAAAGTGGACAAAGAGAAACAAAACTTCTAATTGAAAATTTAGTAGCAGCAATTTTTTTTCAAAATTTTTTGAACAGCTCCAAAGTTATTTCCTAGAAGTCAAATTAACTACAATAGCCAATTGAAATGAAAAATAGAGTTATCCACAGTTATAATAATAGAGACATTGCTCCACAGACAAAGGGAAATAACAAAGCGAGAATCATGCCAAATAAAACTCACAATGTATAGGAGGCGTTAGATGCGAGAACGAAAAGAAGTCGTAAAATTGCCCCAATCTCGGTGGGGGACACAAGGAAATGTCAATGTCCACTTTCTCCGACTTGTCGCCTTTTTCAACACCACCTCTCTGAACTTCTCCATCGCCAGAATCAAGCTTTTGATCACCAGATTCAGGCTTTGAACTGATTCCCAATCCATTTTCTGAAGTTGGACTCTGCTGCTGAGACTGTTCGATCTCAACCGAACCGGATTCTTTGGTTCCGGCAGCATCCTTGTGTTGGACCGGACAACCGGCTTACCGGCGGTGGAGGAGAAGCCGAAGGCGGCGGTACATGCCACGATGTCGAGGAGTCGCCGAATGTGAGTCACGGCGAGCTCCTCAGTGTAGTCCTCTAACAGAAAGAAGTGAGAAACAAGTAAGAGTGATGATACAGTACAGTACATGACCGCCAGATTTTAATTGACTTTCGTTTTATTTACCTTCAACGATGGATAGATGATAAGGTTTCAGCGAGGCGATGTCAACGGAATCTTTCAGCCTAGGACCCCGCACCTGTTCATCGTTATTATTCGTTAGCCGTTTTGTTCGTTAGACACATAAATCTCGAACAAAATAATAATTTAATTTAATATAATAAAATGATAATTATTTTAATTGTCATTTTACTGGGTTGTTCATTAATTTTATGATATTTAATTGTATAAGGGTATTTAATAGTGGTGGCTCTAGAAAAAACAGTTCTTTACACAGAACCAAAAAAAAAAAAAAAACTCTTTTTAGCATACCTGATTTGTAAGCTCCATTAAATTAAATCACGAAAATAAAATAAACTCCTTGAAATTATTTTGTCTCTGTTTTTTTGTGGAAATAAACACAATTTGGATCTTAGATTTCTTTTATAGTATTATACGTGCTATAACTAATAAGAGAAAAAATAATATAAGAAATGAAAATTCATAGTTTAATTTTCACATCTTATTCATTATCTTAAAATTTTTCTCTAATGATTATACTCCATGCATTTATTTAAAGAATCTAAAATAAATTTTACAACTTGTAAAGTCAAGTTGCCAAATACACATAGGAAAAGATTAAGGGGAAAAAAAAAAAGTGTGGCTGGATTGGATTCTATATTTGTACGTATTAAGCTACTGCTTGGAGCCAACCAATGACTGCACAACCACTAAGTGTGGAAACCATCAATGTTTATTTTATTCTTCTAGAACTAGACAAAAAAATAATAAATATGGCTATATATATATATATATAAGAAATCATAAAAATAAAATTTATAAAAAATCATTAGAATTAATTTAATATAAGAAGCCCAATTAATGGGTGATATGGAGGGAGTGTGAATGAGTCACAAATTTGTTGGGGACTAAAGGGAATATAGGTTGGTGGTCTAGGGAGGAATTAAAAATAAAGGAAATATAAGGGTTACAAGTGAGTGATTAAAAGAAAGCGCACCTCGTGGGACAAGGAGTAACAGGTCAGGTGACATGTCTCTACGTGGACCCCAAGCAACTTTCTCAAATCCAAGATCCTGTCCGTAGATATTCCCTGTTCTCCACCACAATTTTCCACAGTCATTCTCATTGCCATTATCATTACCAATATATATATATATATATATATATATAAGTAAAAAACTTGGCCTTTACAAGTAATATTCACTTAATTTTGAGAAAACTTGTTTGTAACTGTATCACTTCACTTCCCTGTATAGGTCTCATGTATTATGCAGGGCTAAGGAAAATTAGTTATTGTACACTAATCATAATTTATAAGTAATATTCCCTCCATTCAAAATTACTACAAGGCACTTTTAATTAATTTACATTTTCAACAAGTTAAGTTAGTTAATGATATTTAAAATTATGCATTTTTTTCATGCTTATCCTTATTTAACATGGTGTCTAAATTAAAAAAATTATTAAGTACATTCACACCCTTAAGGGAATTTAAAAAAAATATTGTTAATTATATCTTAAAAGACTAAAAATACTTTACACCCTTTCATATATTCCAATTTATAAAATATTTTTTTACAAAATTATGCATACTAGTCGAGCTATTAAATACACTTTATAATCTTTTTTGCAAAACACAAACATAAATTTTTAAAAATATTCTTTGTTTAATATAACCTTATTTTTGAAACATTAAATAGAGAGAGGAAATATATATAATAAAAAGAAAAGAGTAATATTAAAATGAGTATAATTAATAAAAATTTATTTTTATCAAAATATCTTCTATTTTACGACACCGAGTCACATCCAAAAGTACCTTCTAAAAATGAGCGGACAAAGTTTTAACATGATATTAAAAAAAAATTATAATACTAAACAGGAGAGAGTGCTAAATTATTGTATCATTACAATGTAAATACCCCCATTGTAAAATATTTAAAAAAAACAAGAAGAAATTAAAAGAGTTTTACTTCAATCACAGTATGATGGGGGGAGGGGACAAAGAAGGAAATACTATAAAAGATATGGCCCCAAAACAAATTGAAGAGAATCACAAGGTGGGAAAAAGAAAAAGACAAAATGTCCATACCTTCAGGGTGACTTGAGAATCGTCTGGGGTGTCCACAGTAACTTCAATTACAGTTGGCAACACTGCAATGGATACAATGTATTCCAGATAAGAAACATGCAATCTTTACAACCACAAGGATAAGCCCAACCATAAGAATCAATTAAGCTCCAATCTCAAAACACGACAATAAATAAATAAAACTACACACACACGCACACATGTTTCTCCTTCAACCTCAGCTTCCATCTTCAACACAGTAATCAGCCTATCATGTTCGCAGTGCAGAGACAAAAACTATAAACATACATACATATATATATATATAACGGACCTTTCTCTTCCTTCTTCTTCTTGTCTCCCTTAGTTTTGTGGGGTTTGGTTTTGCCTGCTTTAGGAGCCATTGTTGCAGATGAAGAAATTGAAGAAGCTTTTCTTCGTCTTGGATAATGATAAAGCTAGCTAGCTCTTCAATTTAAGAGAGTTTTAATTCTAGCTTCTTCTTTCTTGCTGCTGGACGGAAATAACTATGAAGAAACAGTTGAATTTATCGAATAATTAACTGCGAGATTAAATAATAATCTCTCCGTCGACGTCGTCCTCAAACTCTGGAAGATTCTTGGGCGTGACACAATCAATATAGCAACCGCCACGAATAATATTAATATCTGCAGGATTCAAACTTAATTAAGCTTGCTCACTATATAATAAATGCCATGAAAACAGAAACTTAATTTCGCCGAAAGGGAAAATAAAGACACAACTATCACACCTCAAACACTGGTATTTTTTCTGGGTTTAAAAGACAAAAACAAGAGAACTCTTCAAACTGATGAATACAGAACCAGGAAGGAAGTGAGAGAGGGAATGAATTGAGGTTTTAGAGAGAGTGAGGGAAAAGGGTAACAAGGAAGGAGGGGGGAGAGAGAGAGAGAGAGACGTTGGAGAGTGAGTGGATAGGATAAGGTAAGGCAGAGGCAAAGCCAGCCCTTATACTACACAAACACATACAGGAGAATGTAAGGCTAGCGATTTGAGGCCTCTCATTATTTTTTCCAAGTTCTGAAGCCTACGACACCTCATCGTCTATCTCTCTCTTTCTCTCCGGATTTTCTTTCTGTGACAACGTCATTGGAAGTCATAGTTGAAGGTTCTTGTCGTCGTCTTCGGTTCTAGGATTGGGTGAGCACCGCTAAGTCATGCTAAGTCATGGCCTATCAGAGAGTGACGCGTGTGCATGTGTGACGGACCTTTTCATTGGGGTGGGGAGAGAGAGAGAGATGGACTCTTTGGGGAACTTGTGATTCCAAACAAATTTTTATATATGTATGTAGGTATGTATGTGCTGGTCCTCGAATTCGTAATTTGTCCATCGTTAATTGTAATTAGGGGAATTTGGCCTCTAATTAAAAAGATTCCAGTTTTTATGAATAGGCACATTGTTTGTGATTTTGGTAAATTTATAAATTTAACATTATTAAAATGTAATTAAGTTAGATACGTTTTTTATTTCAATTTATGAATGGTATGCATTATGTTATAAGTATGCATATGCACTTGTTGCTTTGGGAATAAAAATTATAATGGTGATTTCAATGTTAAAAATTGTAGTAATTTATCTTTTAATACAAAAATTGATACATTGCTTTCACATACATTATATGAAATCTAAAGAATGAGTCATATTGATTTATAATAGTGCACTTTATTATAAATTTATATATTTTTTATTAAATACTAATAATTCAAATCATGATCATCAACGTACCTAAGGTCAAAAAAATTAATCATGAATCTATGTGTGTACGTGGTCTGATTAATTAGAAATTTTTTGTTTACTAAAACAACATTGTCTTATTTTGTAATTATTAGAATTCAAATCTTCAAACAATGTTATTAACCAGGGAGAATATATATATACGTATAAGCGCATGAAGTGTATACATGCATGTATGAAAAATTAAGAATTTTTCAACTTTATTTTTATTAAATACATATATATATATATATATATTAATAACATATTTCTTCCCACCGGCTTTTAATGAACATAAAATAAAAATAAAATTTATGATAAAAAAGTCAGCAATATACTTTATAAATATGATCAAAAAAATCCTTCTCCATGCCTTACAAATAAAATCAAAAGGAGTTTGTGTGTGTGTATATGTGTGTTATTCTTCATCTTATTACTTTATTAACAATCATGTTAGGGCTGATTAAAATTAGTTGTATGCAATTTTGTGGATATCAAAGGATGTATGTCTTGAATTTGAAGATATGGACCATGTCAAGTACATGAAGAATTCAATCCAATGGAACATGTCACAAAAAGCTACATGCTATTATGGATCATATGTAAACCTTTGCAAAAGATATTCACTCTCTCCTTACCAACTTCATTGTGGTGGATGCTTGACTCCCAGGTTTTAGCTTCTTCTTTTAGCATTGCTTTTGTTTTAATTATATTTTTCATTTTCCTTTTTAGTTCTTGGATGTAATTGGAACTATTTGTCATTTTATCCAAAAAAAAATGTAAACTTCATAAATGCTTGACTTAAGTTTACTAGGTGGGTTCATCAGGTTTGGTGTTCCGACTCTCAAATTTCAGAACTGAACAACTTTTGAAACCCATACATTCATTTGTCATAAAAACTCTCAATATTCAATTAATATTATTATATCATGCATCCATCAATTGACTACAAGCATTAAAAGCCATGAATAGTTCGTAAGACTTCTTCATGCAATAATGCACATACCATAATATATATATATATATATATATAATGGTGAACATGAACATACCTTAATTTTTTTTTTGGGTGAGCATGCACATATTTTAATACTCCCTCCATTTAAAAATATAAGGTATTTTTTGAGGTGTTGGATGTTCAAAAAAATAAAATATTTTTAGTCTTTTGACGTGTAATCATTGTCTTTTTTAAAAATACCCCTATTAATAATAACTTTATATTTATTGTAAGGTGTTTAATAGGGATAAATATGAAAAGATAGGGTTAGTTAAAAAGTAGGTAACTACTTTATTTGAGGTGAGATTTAATTAAAAATACCTTATATTTTTGAACGGAGGGAGTATTTAAATATGAAATGAACATGGTATGTAGTTTATAGAAGAAGCTTTCTATATTAATTAATAATAATGGATATTAATGTTATATGAATTATCAATATCAATATATCCATAAAAGTCATGTTAAATCACATTATGGTTCATACATTATGAATATTAACTTCATTTTTAGTACATTGTGAGTATGTAAAATTAATTAATGATTAAATTGAAACAATACTACTAGTTTAAGATTTATTAATCCCATCGTCATTGATTTGTGGTTGTAATTAAATTAATTTTTAGATTTTGATGTATAAAAAATAAAAAATAGTTTTTTATTAAAGGAATTTTAAATTGAGACCACCACGATTAATATATAGTTCACCAATTAAATGCACTGATTTATTTTAGTTTTGGAAACATTAATGTAGCATGGCATAACTTTTACTCCTTCCAATCCAAAATATAAGCAATTTTTTTAAAAAAATTGAGTACTAATAAAATCATCATTCTCGTAAAAATATATATTATTTTCTCTTTTTACTTTTAGTCTCAATTATCAATGCATTTCATCAAGTGAAAGATAACTCTATATAAGAATCTAGGTTAATAATAGAAGGCACAAAATGAAATTTTTTTTTTTACATATATTAGGTTGCTTATATTCTGAACTAAGATTAGTTGAGAGAAAATACTTATATTTTAAACTAAAAAGAGTATAACCTAAAAGTGATCAATGTAGGGGCAGAACCAAAAAACATTTATTTGGGGGCCTCAGATGACAAAACATATATTATAATTAAAAGAAAGTTATATATATATATATATATATATTTATCATTAACATAACATAAATATTTCAATATATATATTTATATTCAATTTTACAAATATATAACAAAAATAATTAAATATATACTTTTATTTTTTTAGTTTTTGTCATCAATTTTTTATGACATAAAAATAATTAATCATCATGTCTATGATAAAATTTTTAGCAATTTCTTTTTCAATATAAACTATAATTAAATAGATAAATTTTTATTTTTTTCTATGATTGTGGAATGATATAAATGCATCCTTATAATTTAAAGTTATGTTCAACCTAAACAATTTTATTATTTACTTACTAAAATTAATATTTAATTTTTTTAATTAATAATTATAGTAAATAAATATATAAACACGATAATGAGTTTACTTGGTGGGTTCATCAGGTTTGGTGTTCCAACAGAACTGAACAACTTTTGATAGATCTGAAAAGTGCTTTGGCCCATACATTCATTTGTCACAAAAGCTATCAATATTCAATTAATATTATTATATTATGCATCCATCAATTGACTGCAATAAAAGCCATGAATAGTTCGTAAGACTTCTTCATGCAATAATGCACATATCATATATATATATATATATATATATATATATTTTCGTGAACATGAGCATACCTTAATTTTTTTCTTTTTTTGTTGAGCATGCACATACCTTAATATTTAAGTATGAAATGAATATGGCATGTAGTTCATAGAAGAAGCTTTCTACATTAATTAATAATAATGGATATTAATATGTTATCAGAATAATTGATATTAATATTATATGAATTATCAATATCAATATATCCATAAAAGTTATGTTAAATCACATTATGGGTTCATATATTATGAATATTAACTTTATTTTTAGTACATTGTCAGTATGTAAAATTAATTAATCATTAAATTGAGACAATACTACTAGTTTAAGAGTTATTAATCCCATCGTCATTGATTTGAAGTTGTAATTAAATTAATTTTTAGATTTTGATATATAAAAATAAAATACTATTTTTTATTAAAGGCATTTTAAACTGAACCACCAAGATTAATATATAGTCCACCAATTAAATCAACTGATTTATTATAGTTTTGGAAACATTAATGTAACATGTCATAACTTTTACTCCTTCCAATCCAAAATATAAGCAATTTTTAGAAAAAATTTGAATACTAATAAAATCATCATTCTCATATAAAATACATACATACATACATACATACATATATTACTCTTATTCTCAATTATCAATATAATTCATCAAATGAAAGATAACTCTACATAAGGATCTAGGTTAATAATATAAGGGATAAAATGGAAATTTTTTTTTACATATATTAGGTTGCTTATATTTTAAACTAACATTAGTTGAGAGAAAATACTTATATTTTGAACTAGAAAAAGTATAACTTAAAGGTGATCAATGTAGGGGCGGAGCCAAAAAAATTTATTTGGGAGCCTAAATGAGAAAGCATATATTATAATTGAAAGAAAGTATATATATATATATATATATATTTATCACTAACATAACATAAATATTTTAATATAGATATTTATATTCAATTTTGCAAATATATAATAATTAAATATATACTTTTTTTTAGTTTTTCTCATATTTTTTTCATGACATAAAAATAATTAATCATCATGTTTATGATAAAATTTTTAGCAATTTTTTTTTCAATATAAACTATCATTAAATAGGTAAAATTTTTATTTTTCTTAATGATCGTGGAATGATATAAATGCATCCTTATAATCTAAAGTTATGTTCAACCTAAGAAACTTTATTATTTACTTACTAAAATTAATATTTAATTCTTTCGATTGATAATTACAGTAAATAAATATATAAACGCAATAATGATGTACAATTGTCATAAAATCTTTATGTCAATAAGATTGATTATATTATAATAAAAACCACTCATATAATAAATTTCAATAGCTTGATTATTACAAAAAGAGTAATTTTTTTTAGAAGAACATCTCAATCATAATCTCTTAACTTTTGGATAAGTAATTTTATAGTAAATATCAAGCATATATCACTTAATATATTTTAAAATTTTTGTTGCAATACTTGACAAATCAAATGACATCAATACTTTAAGAGTATATGAAACATTATCATGTTAAAAATAACTAAATCTCATGATAACTATTTCTTCAAACT